TGCAAGTTTTCTTTATAACTTTTTTTTTTTTTTTTTTTGCATTTTTGCTTATCAAAAACTATTTGATTCTGCAGATAATAAACACAATACACGTGCTTGCCATGTGCCAAGTTTGACAGCTACACTGTATGCCCGATACCACTATACATAAAAGCTGCGCAATGGCTAGACCAAAATCAGTTTTTAAAGCAGAATGTTGCTTGTGTTGTGGTACAGACCTTCGACTGCAACATATTCTTAGTTTAAACTTCAAACTCCGCGTCAGGCACTTTGCTTCTTGTCTCGTCTGCACGAGATAACTTCAGTGCAAGGCGGGAAAGGCAGCTCCTTTTTTCAAAAACGAACCTGGCAACTAGAAACTAGTTTCGTTTTTCAAAAACGATTCTGACATCCAGAAACTAGTGTCGTTTTTCAAAAACGATTCCGGCAACTAGAAACTGGTGTCGTTTTTCAAAAACGATTCTGAGAAGCCAGAATTAGTTTTGCGGAGAATGTTACGGTCTCTCCTCGCCGTGCGCTGAGGCCGGGTTGACCGCCTCTACCAGTCACAGGCCGCCTGCACAGCGAAAGCCGGGAATGGGGTTTAGGTGTGGCTGGGGCTGGGGGTGGGGGAAAAGAGTGAAGGTGAGGAAGGGAAAGGGCCCCCAGGGCCTTGCTTTTTAGTTTGAAGTATAATTTTTAATTTATTGAATTTTTGAAAAACGATTCTGATGCTTAGAAACCATTGTCGTTTTTCGAAAAACGATTCTTAGAAGCTAGAATAGTTTTTGCGGAGTGTTATGCCCCTATTTCACACAGACCACACATCCCAAATTTTAGGATTCGTGAAAATTTTGCCAATTTTCTGGGCTATTTCGACACGTTCTACGATTCAGTTACGATACAGGTGCGATAGTATTATGGATATTTATGGGATTCGGCTGGAATCGCAAGAATATTGTCCAGAAATTCACTACTTTTTTGTAATCGGGAGTTCGTGGCCAAAATTTTGAACAGCTCAAAATTGTTGCCACGAATTCCAGATTGATCAAGAATTGCAAGAACTGACTACGATTATATACGAATCTGTTGAGAACTTCACGAACTGATTACGATTTAACCACGAATCCTGAAATTTTCAATTCCTGGCGATTCGTGGGATTCGTGATCTGTGTGAAATAGGGGCATCATAGTTTTTGCCACTAATTCCTGATGGTCAAGAAGTGCAAGAACTGACTACGAATAT